GTACCTGTGGTGTAAGTACAGGGTGATTGGTTTTAGCATAGTTTGATGATCAGTACCAGGCTGCGATTAAGCTTATCATGAGACTAAGCGTAATATTATCTCCACTGCAGTCACCTTGTGTGTCTGATTGTGTCTCTGTGTTATGTCCAAGGAGTTTGTATTTATATGTTTGGGTTGTACCTTTCTGTCAGCTGTGCTCCTTCTAGTTCTGCATCAATCCAACATTTAAAAAAATCCCATAACAACAAAACCCAAACAAATCTGTCTTCCACACAAAAAAGTAATATAATGAAATAACTGAAAACTTGTTACTTGTCAGCGCCATGGCTTTAGGAAAGAAATTGGTGCTCGTTTAAGTTGCATAAGATACATAGCAGCTATACCGAGGGACGTGATTGTGTCATGCCCAAGCCAGTGTGGGCTGGCTTCTTCAGTGGCCTTTAGGCAGACAGATGAATGGCAGGATTTTCTTCCAAGCATTTAGGCATTTTGGATTTAAGTATGAGTTTGGTGCTTAAAGGTTATTCTAAATATTCTTGTAAGTGCCTTTGAAATACCGGTCTTTAACCACCACTTTGTAATTTGCTATCTGAAAGTCAGTCTTTCCTTGAAATATGGTACCTTCAAGTACAAAAGCTTCAAAGATGTGGATTGACTTGCATCTGGTTCTCACTGTAAGGAGTAAGTGTCTTTAAATTGGCTAATAGAGTTCACAGCTGATCTACAGCAACTAAAAAGAGCAAAACATGAAAGGAATAGTGTAGAATCGCTAGTGCTAACAACAGCAGAGTGATTAAAAGTGTTTAGAAAGGATTTATTTCAGAAGTAATGGTCCTTAGAAAGAGTTGGCAATTTTTTCCCACCAGTTCTTAATTTGGGATATCTGTGGGCAATTAGTAGGTGCCTTTCTGTATTCTTAGATGGAAGCTTGCTTTGGTGTCTGTCAAATCCTGGTTTAGAGTATGAACATCAATGTGAAGATGATGGTATTAGCCATGGTCGATACAGTATTTCTTCATTCTCCTAGAATGTGATCTCGGAGTGTAATATACTGTAAATAAGATAATCTTAGAAAATAATTATTTCTGAATCTCCAGATAATAAAAGCACTGTGTGTTGCCTAAGGCAGCAAAGGACTTGTCCTCTTGGCCCAGTGCTTCTGTCTTGCTTGTTGTCCATTTCGTGGTAGCACTGGGTGATTTGTAGGCCTGGGTTTTGCTGGTGGTGTGGCTACAGTGCAGCCCCTCCTGTTGTCCAGTGACTCAGGTGGGCTTTTACTGGATCCAGCAGCATCTTGTGTGAGATGGAGGACAGTCACCGGGTTCTGCACATTGCTGCGGTGGAATAGGGAGCTATGGCACTTGGATGTGTTCATCATGTGGCATTTTTAATCATTCTCTACAAAGATTGATCTAATACTACTTCTGTAGCCAGGACCTAAATATATTATGCCATGGGAAAGTTAAATGTGAGACCAGTCAGTTTAATGCTAATAACCTGTTGAGATACATGGTTTGTAAACACTAGCAGGTGATGTGCAGAGTGTTTGAATACATGGATTTTTAAGTACTGTACAAGAAGATAATTTTATTCTGTTCCTCTTGACTGAGGTGTTCAAGAAAAGATGGTCTAGATAGTTTGTCTAATGTTGTTTGCGGCCTAGTATTCCTCTTTTGTTTCTAACAATGTTCAGATAGGCAGTCAAGGAGTGTTAGGTCTCCTGGTTGTCCAGCAGTAATGCTGGTAGGAATTAGAAGACATTTAATATTTCCTAAAGAAGATAAAAACATGATACATAAGTTTTTGAAGTCTTGAGATCTTGTGTGTGTTGGCCCATGGAGTTGGAGTTTTGAATGACTAGGCTGTCATCTGCATCCTCCAGGCTACTGAAGGAGGTTGGAGGTGCAGCTCCTGAAAAGGACAGTGCTGCTGCTGCTGGAGTCTCCTGCCTTGGTAGGCTGGTGGGGCTGCAGCGGGAGAGCAGAGCTCCTTCTGCCAACAGATCCCTTGCTGATCTGGCAGATCCCTTCTCGGATCCCTTCACTGGCTGTAAGAGTGTTGCTGTTTACCTGCAGGTGAGTCTTCCCACATTTGCTTAGATAGCTGCCAACTTAAATTATTTTGTGGACTTGTAGGTGAGTCAGCCTGCAGTATGATTTGCTGAAAACAGCGTACATTTAAAAAATTACTTTTTTGGTACTGTGAAAAAAGATGACCCACTTCACGGTAACACTGTTTGCCTTGCTGAGTAGGCTAAGCAGCATAAAGTACTAGTGCAACCCAAGTTAAACCCAAAGCTATAGTTAAAGATTTAATTGAATATGTATAAACGTTGCTGCATTACCTAAAGATAAAGGTCTTAATTCAAAACTATGTTGAAGTTACTCAGAAAAGGCTTCAAACAGCAGCAGCAAAAAATTGAGCCATCTGATGCTTTTATCTGTAATTGTGCAATTACACACATGTATCGTGGTACCAGCTATAAAACATAGGCCAAAAAAAATACTGTTTTGCTAGGTCTGTACATTTATTACAGTAGCACTAGCTGATGTACCATGGTTTTCTGCATCAAAGCTGCTATAGTCTTCCTGTTTTCAGTGAATCTACAAGGCCACAAAATAATTTAATTGGCAGCTATCTAAGCAAATGTGTGAAGTCTCACCTGTGGGTAAACAGCAACACTCCTAGACCCAGTCAGCGGTTCCGAGAAGGGTTCTGTCGGATCAGATCCTTTTGATAAGATCAGAGGAATTAATATCTGTATTTGCATAATACATATATTTGTGTAAAAACGTGTTTAAAATGTCTTGAGTATTTATTTTAATATACTACAGAGGTGAAACTGTTGAGAGACCTTGAAGAAGACATCTGACCTTTTCTCTCAAAACCCACAGTCACTATATGTCTTAATTTCTGGATAGATGCGTTCCTGTTCTCTTGCACTCTTTTTCTCAAACCTAGAAGCATTGTTCAAGTGGAATTTGAAGGTTTTGTGTGTATATCCAGAATTTCCAAACATCTGCAGCCTGCTCTGAGGAGCAGTTTCAACTGCACTGCTGGCTATTTGGCAATCTCAAGCGTGCTTGCTGTGCGTATTCAATGAGACTCTACAGCGCATGCCTGTAAAATCCACGTTTCCAGTAAACATTGGATGGAGCTGTGTGTGCACGGTATGCTCTAACAGCCTGAAGCACTGGACTTGCTGAACCCATAGTACTTTGTGCATAAACACAAATTCTGGATAGGACTGCCACAACTGTGCCAAAAATCCTGGATCTTTCTTTGAACAAAGTTTTCCAAGGCCTTCAGTTTTTCCAAAGACTTAGCTTCTACATCTGTGCCTTGGCCATGAAAGAATAGTCTGAAATTTTTTTTTTTTTTTTCCCCAAACATATTGACCATTCATCTGCCAAACTCCCTCATGAGGTTTTCAAGTGCCAAGCTTTTGTGGACAATCTTCCGTAGATACCTGTGTATTTATATCTATGTTCTATGTATTTGTATACCTGCTTGGGTATAAAATAAACTATTACAGTAAATGCCTCATTCTTAATTGTCGAACTTGTTTGTTTGTTTTCAACAGGCAGAAATACTCAGTGTGCTCAGTCACAAAAACATCATTCAGTTCTACGGAGCTGTCATTGAACCTCCAAATTATGGCATAGTTACAGGTAAGGATTTTTGTCTGTCCTTTTGTCTTGAGTCAGTAAAACTCCAGTGTTGCAAGGTGTTAGCTTTACCCAATTTAAGTGTTTTGCTAATTGTTCTGGCCTTCGTTGAATGTTAGTGTGCTCAGCATCACCTGCTGCAGTGTAAATGGGAGTGCTCAGGTAGGAACCAGGCTGGGAGCATGGCTGGGAGCAGCACAGAGGCAGTTGGAGCCTGAGGCGTTCTTAATGCACAAACTCAGCACTCTTTTAAATAGAAACTGTCACTCTGTTCTGTGAATTGCTTTTCCATTTTAACTGATGTGTGACCGAAGTAGAGGTTTTCATGATACATAGTTCTGTGAAAAGGGAAGGCTGAGAGTCTGCTCAGAACAAAGCTGCACCATGAGTTCTGCCTGTGTTGAAAATACAGAATCTGCATTGGGAACTTCCCAGCTGTGGGAAGGACTTGAAATAGAGTCAAGGGTTTATTAGACACCATAACACAACTCCCTCTTTTTGCTGAAACCTAGATTTCATTCGTTCTGTCATCCTGGAATTATGCGGAGGTTGTTTTTTGTATTTTGCTGTGTTTTTTTTTTTCTTCCTATCACCACTTCAAGCTTTCTTACTTTATCTTGGGAGTTGGTCCAGATATAAAATTACATTACAGATAATGCAATTTCTCACATTCATGTATGAGAGAAACTAGGTAAGATAGTAGTAGAAAACAAACCCAAAGCGAAGAAATCTGCAATATGCTGAAACAGTGTTTAGGGAGGTGAAAACCCTGGAAGCCTGGATTAGGAGGCACTAGGAGACAGTTTTGACCTGTCTGCAACACTTCAAAGAGTTTGATGTGAAGAGCTGTCTTTGCATGTGGCACAGTCTTAATACCAGTTTGAAACACTGCCGTTCAGAGTTTTATTGGTTCTCAGATGGTGGCCAGAACCTGTGAAAATTCTCTTGTTTCTACCTGTCTCTTCGATGTCCGATTATCACAGTAGATGACATCGTAACCTGGTGGGAGCGCCTCTGAGCACGGAGAGCTTTACTTACAGGAGCATCAGCCTACTGGGGGTCACGATGTTGCAGCCAGTACTCCAGAGGTGCATGGGAGTGACCATGGTTTACACCACTCAGGGAGTGCCCTGGTAATAGCATATAGGTGGGAACTTGGATAAGTTCTTGAAGCAATAAAAATAGTAGAAAGCTAATAAATTGAGTAATGTAATTTTACTCTAATTTATAACATAAATGAAATAAGTGCAAACCAGCAAGCAGAGTAACGAAGAAGATGTATAACCAACAACTCAGAATGATGTCTGAATCAGAAAGTCCTCAGTTTGATCTCATAAAAGGTCAGTATTCAGAGGACATTTGACTTGCTTGCCAGTCACAGGACAGACAGCAGCTGAAGTAGTTCATTATGTCATTGGAAACGGGGACTCTTTTTAACCATCTGTGAGAAAGAGACTACGCTGTGTAGTCCAACCACTTTGTTACTCAGGGAGCTCTGATTCCACCCTGGCTAAAGAAAAAAGCTTTATTTTAACAAACTGCATTGGTTCTCCCTGCAACTTCCAAGGAGACTGGAGTCCCGTGTGTTGGAAGGGAAGCAAGGCTGCGTTTGCCCACACCATTTTCAAATGAGAGAATGGCTACTGAGAAAACAAACGTTAATTGCGCCTGAAATATCTTTTAGAGGGATTTTCACTCTGTGATCTTCTGGATGGCCTTCAGTGTTGCAGACTTAATCCTGTGTTTAGTCAGAGATCCATTTCTTATGAGTGAAAATCCCAAACAAGAAGAAATCCTGAGAAACTAATGTTTCTTCAGAGCAATGGAGATGAGGGCATTCAGCCAAGCACTGGCATGTACCGAGCATTAGCTGCACGTAACGTCTTATGTGGGATTGTCAGAGAGTTCTCTGAGAAAGGCTGCATCTGCAGTCGGAACACGTTTCCCTGCTGGGCTGTGTGTCAGCGTTAAAACGGATCATCCTGCCTGGCGAGCTGCTAATGTGGATGGTGTCGCTCTAGATGGCACTGGCCATCTCTGTCAACAGCAGTCTCGATGCCTAGCAAAGTTTCCCATCTGGTTTTTAACCACAGCTGCCTCCTCCCAGAAGGTTCTTGGGAGCTTTTTTCCCCAGTCTGCACAGAAACGTTCAGTGTATCCCAGAGCCCATCAGAGGGTGGGTCCAGTCAGGCTTTCAGAGCTTTTCTTCCTAAAGCAAATACCTCTTTTACATTATTGACAGAAAATTATCCTCGGGATACAATTTCCAAATCCGTAAGCTCCTAGTGAAACTTGTGGTACAATAAACGTGTAGGAGAAGCGCTGCAGGATGGAGCTGTGTTGATGGAAGCGTGCTTGCCCGTGCTTGCGCGGCGTGGCGGGGGGCGAAGGGCACTGGGCTGTCCCTGACCCTCCGGATCACGCCAGGCGTTGTAAAGGCATGCGAAGCGTGCAGCCAACCTAGTCCTGAAGAATCCATTTATAAGACAGATGACATCATGGGTAAAAAAAGCTTATGTTTTAATTGAGGAAACGTGCAGGTCAGCAGCTTACTCCTCTTTCGGTGACATCAGAAGCAACATATCTGTCTCCTGCAGAGGCTCCTTTCAGCCGGAGGTCCTGCGGTAATGATCCAAAACTAACCTGCCACTTGAGTGTTTACTTTGAAGGGACTTCCTGTTTTTTCCCTCTTTCTTTTCATTTAGCGCTGGAATCTTCTCACACAGACCACCACGTTCTAGGCTGCAGAGTCAGTCTCATCCTGGAGCTTCCTTCCCTGCGCAGCAATCTCCCAGTGGTTTTTATTTCCCTGATGAGGAGCCATGTTTCCTTTCTATGCTTCTGGCATATCATGTATCATTCATCGAATAATATTATTATTAACAACAATTTGGATATATTTGATGTAGTCTTAGAGGGAATGATTTTGTGGCTGCTTTGAAATGGCTGAAATTTTCTTCTCCTTTCTAATTGCAAACCCTTTCTTTGTAACAGAACATCATATGTTTAACATCTGGTTTTACTTTTAAAAAACGAAATAAAGTAATTATCCTTTGTTATGAGGCATCGTTTATATGCAGTACTGCTCACCAGTGGGGAATACCTTCTTTCTTTAGAAGCAGTAAGAAGGATCTGATACCACCAAACTCATCCATTAACTGCTTTTCTGATGAGGAGCAGCAAATTCACTGTTTAAATATGTAAGAATTTCAAGGTATATAAAAGTGCCTCCAGTTTCATACCTAAATGCATGTAGGTGTAACTAGCTTGTTATTTCAACTTTCAGACCTGTGAGCTCTGACAGTCAGACCAGATTCCATCTGCCACACTTGCAAACACCAATGGGCCAAAAAAGCTCATGTTTGTACCTGTATAAACCTGCTGTGGGCTTCTGAAGGTGTTGTTGAAAGAAGTTAAGAAAAACTGTTGATCCTGAACAAGGAGCATAAGGAAACACCTTGCTTTCTTACCTTAGGGTGAGGGAATATACAGCAGTGAAGGCTTACCACCATTTACGTGTGGGATGTAAAGTCACAAATGGACCAAATTGTCTAGTGGCGTGTTACCGTTTTCACACAGTTCTCTGAGCAGAACTATCCTTCAAAAACCTTTGGAAAGTAAATCACCAGAACCTTTTACTGTGGAATTTGAATTGCTTTGCCTGAGCTCTAATGCTTTTTCATTTTAATGCCTGTTCTTAAGTAATGATTTTACAGTGTTTTTTTTTCCCTGTAGCAGTAGATTATGTCTGTGTTGAGATAGTCAGAACAAACTGCCACTCTCCTACTACACTACTAAGTATTAGCTGCTGAACATTCTAGTCATTAAGCCAGAGGTTGACTGCTTTCTGGAACTGACATAATTTCCATTAGATCTTTCAATTTAAGTGCAGTGTTTAAAAATATTGTGTGTGTGTGTTTGTTGTTTTTTAACAGAGTATGCTTCTGCTGGCTCACTGTTTGATTACATTAATAGTAACAAAAGTGAAGAGATGGATATGGATCATATCATGACCTGGGCAACTGACATAGCTAAAGGTAAGTGAGACCAGTGGTGCATTGCTGTCCTACAGAGTCAGCAAAGTGTATAGCTGGAGGTGCT